GGCTTCGTGCTCGTCCTGCCCGCGCTTATACGGAGGCTGAAAGGGGGGGGGTTTCGGGATGACCTCGGAGCCTCGTGGCTAAAAAGCTGCCAAAAAAACCCGCCGGAAAACCGGTGATGGTGAGCTGGGAGCCCGCTCCCTGGCAGGGAAGGCGCTTCCCCGGTCCATGGGTGCTCGGAGGTCTCCCCAAGGAAGCACCTGCCGCCCGGTTTTCCCCCCCCAAAAAAAAAGATCTCCCCTTCATGCACGTTGAAGACAACCTCGATTTTTTTTTTTACCTGGCTGGTGAGGGAGGTGGTTTTTGGGTGGGAAATCCTCCCCCCCAGTATCTTTCCGACCGGCTTTTGCCGCTTGGATTGATCGCCGTGTGGTTTCGCTCCTTTACCGAGGGCTGTAAAGCTGCGTTTATCGAGCCACCGTCGTTACCCGGCCGTGGTGGGTATCGATCGCCCACCAAATCGGCTTTAGCCCTCCCGCGGTGCGATGCGCGGAGGGAGCTGCGGTGCCTCTCCGGCTGTTCCAGACCCGATCCGGAGGGTCCAGCCCCAAACCCCTTCGTTAGGGTTTCCCTGGGTGGTTTTAATAAATTCCAGGTGATTTGGGGGCGGAAGGGGAGCGGCCGTCTGTGCTCAAAGCCCGGAGACGGGACCGGGGGATGCCGGATGATTTGGGGTGCGGGGTCTCGCTCCCCGCCGGGGTGAGCTCAGACTTTTCCCATTTCTATCCGTAGTCTGCGGGAAGCGATACAAGAATCGGCCGGGATTGAGCTACCACTACGCTCACTCCCACCTGGCCGAGGAAGAAGGCGACGACAAGGACGATTCGCAGCCCCCCACTCCCGTCTCGCAGCGATCGGAGGAGCAGAAATGTAAGCAAAACACGCCCCCTCCGCCAAAATCCCCGTCGTGAAAAAGGCAGCAAAGCCGGGAAACCACCCGTGCCGGGGCTGGGAGCGAGCAGCGTCCCTTCCCCGATGCTTCTGAGCACCAGGGCATTGCCCCGGGGCTCGGAAGTTGCCGGAAAGGCTGCTCCGAGCATCGGGATTTGCGCCGTGGCAGTGTTTTCTCCTGGTCCCGTGCAGAAAGCCTTCGCCCCGCGGCTAATCCGTCTCTCGGCTCTGCTTTTCCAGCCAAGAAAGGACCCGACGGCTTAGCTTTGCCCAACAACTACTGCGATTTCTGCCTGGGAGACTCCAAAATCAACAAGAAGACGGGGCAACCGGAGGAGTTGGTCTCGTGCTCGGACTGCGGGCGATCAGGTAAGGGGAGGGGAGAACATCCCCCCGGCCGCGGGCAGCGCCGACCCACCCCCGGCATCTTCGCCTGCCCGGAGAAGCCGAGGATTTGGGTCGGAGGCTGGGGAGAAGGTGGTTTTCTCCCCGCCGTGGGGCTCTTCCCCGACCCCGCGGTTCCAAGGGCTGCCTTCCTCCCCTCCCCTGCCTTCACTCGCGTCCTGCCTGCTTCGCAGGGCACCCCTCCTGCCTGCAGTTCACCCCGGTGATGATGGCGGCCGTCAAGACGTACCGCTGGCAATGCATCGAGTGCAAGTGCTGCAATATCTGCGGCACCTCCGAGAACGACGTGAGTACCCCCGGAACGACGGGACCACCCTCAGAACTATAGGAGCACCCCCTGTGCCCTCCCCCGGGAGGAGCGGGGCACCCTCCGGGGACACCCCGGGGTGTCATCCCCTCCGGCCCTGCCTCGAAGGGACGGGGAAAAGCCCCCCGGAGGGTTTGTGAGCGGCCTCTTGCTTTGGGGAGGTTTTAATAATCCGTAGGAGGCGTCGGAGGCTTTTTTGCAGGAAATCTTTGTGCTTTCAGAGCCCGCAGGGCACGGCAAGAGTCTTTTTTGGGGGAAAATCTTTGTGCTTTTAATGGTCCGTAGCACAGAGCAGTCTTTCTGGGGGAAATCTTTGTGCTTTAATAGTCCGTAGGACACGGGAGAGTCTTTTTTGGGGGGGAAATCTTTGTGCTTTTAATGGTCCGTAGCACAGAGCAGTCTTTCTGGGGGAAATCTTTGTGCTTTAATAGTCCGTAGGACACGGGAGAGTCTTTCTGGGGGGAAATTATTTTGCTTTTAATGGTCCATACGACACAGGAGAGTCTTTTTTTGGGGAAATCTCTGTCCTTTAATAGTCCGTAGGACACAGGAGATACTTTTGGGGGAACATCTTTGTGCTTTTATAGACTGTAGGACACGGGAGAGTCTGTTTTGGAAGAAATCTTTGTGCTTTAATAGTCCACAGGACACTACAGTCTTTTTTGCGGGAAATCATTGTGCTTTTAAAGGTTCGTAGCGCAGAGCAGTCTTTTTGGGTGAAATCTTCGTGCTTTAATAGTCCGTAGGGGACAGCAAAATCTTTCTTTGGGGGAAAAGGTTGTGCTTTTGGTAGTCCGGAAGACACGGCGATGTCTTCCTGGTCGCTCCGACAGAGCTTGGAAGACGACAGAGAGGGACCCTCGTCCCCTCCACGTTGTCCTTAAGCCCGGGCCGGGTTGAATCATCCGAATTTTCTCCCCTTTCCCCCCCCCACCC